CAGTAATGGTCTGTTAAGGCTGGTCTTAGGCTGAGGACCTGGGCTGTTTTGCTCAGGCCGCATGCGTCGTTGATATCTGAGGCAACTCTTCCTCTTTATATGCACTTTTCTCGAGACAGGACGCAGTATAAGTGGCAAAAGAAGTACATTATCCGGTGCATATGTTCTTGGAGTCATTTTGTTGGTCAGGTGTAATAATGGCATAGGTAATCTGCGACGCGTCCCCTTCGATGCGACGTTCGGGTAGTTGGTCTGTAATGCCCATAATCCAAAAATGCACATCCGTAGTCCCGTCATAGATATCGGGTTCGCGGGGCTTCACCTTAACGGTCTTGTCGGTGAGTTCAGCGCGAAAGAAAGTTGTAATAGCCGGCTGGCTGGGAGGTACTTTGTCTGCCCCTTTGGTGTTTGAAGTTTCAGGGTATACTTGTGGATGACTTGCTTTAGGCCTCGTAGTAGGAATGGAGAGCAGGACTGGAATGCCTGTCGCAGTTCTGCGCCTAGCTTTTTCCAGGACCAGTGGAAGAATGGTTGCAGTGCTTCTGACACCTCGTGAAGTCGAAAGGCTTCTTCAGCACCCCTAAATTGTTCGAATGGAGTAGGGGGATGGGGGCAGATTGCTTGTCACCAATCATATACAATCTAACAGAATTATCCTATATTCAACACCAAAAAGGGGGATAATATTTAGCACAAATACTTACCGCAATTCGCGAACGGGGCATTTCCGGACACAAGCTCCGGATCCCAGCAAAAGATCTCGGTGTCAAACTTTCCGGCCGTTGCACGCTTCCTAGATGGAGCATTATTTCTCTAGTATCTCCTGGGTCTTCAGATCTTAGGGAATAAAGCACGGCGGGCTCATAGCCTCTGCCAACAAGAGTCTCTGGATTGTTCTCTGGATTGTGTCTCTGGATTGTGTAGGATAACTATTTGGTAGTCAAGTTGGGCTGGGGCTCAGGTTGAGATTTTATAGCCATGCCCATCAACTATTTCTCGGAAGTGAATATGCTGGCTGAATGAATCCTTGAGATCTTCACTCAACCAGTGAATCACTTGGAACATGATGACCTGGCACGGCCAACTACTCTGAAGCCCGGCCCCTGGATACCAGCAGCTGCCGTCATGAAAGAAAGCCAGTCAAAGCCATCATGCGCGATCCCGTAAGCGATCACCCGCAGTCATACACCTCTGGCTCTTCCTAGGCGGAAGCTCCTCTTAGAGACACGGCTACGTGTTTCCCGTAAAGCCAGTGGCAATCAAAGCGGTCTATCAGGCCGTTTGTTGCTGCAGAGTCCCGGGTATCCTTCCTCCCTTCGTATGCTCCATCCCAGCCCAGGTAACTCACCAGCTGGAGCACTGGTTAGTTACATCTATGTCAGGGTGGACAAGTTACAGGCTCCTTGCATCTTAGTCAACAGCCAGCTGGTTGCTAATGATTGAAGCAGTCCTGGAAGCGAGGAGTTTGTATCGTCAAATGCAGCCAGCAGAGAGTCCACGCTGGTTGGTTAGGTTAGGCTAAGTTAGGGTTGGCCACAAAGTTGACTTGCGGCCGAAGTCCAGATTTCGAGCTTATTTAGAGTCGACTCGCTTCTTCCTCATAACTTATGGCCGTCTTTCCGTAGTGAAACTCATCCACAAGCCCGTTTCTATCGGTCGAAGAGATCCAACAGCGGCCCGACATTGTTGATGAACGGCAGCCTGGGATGCGGAAACTTCACTGCATCCCCATCTGGGACCCGCAGTAGTTACGCCGCTCCGTTCGCTGTACCAGGTCATTGAATAACGATGTTCAGGCCGATGTCTTCAACATGATGGGCTACGAATGCACTGACTTCACGCCGGAGAGGGCGCCGTCATGGACGTCGAAGGTTGGGCCACTTGAGAAACCGCTGGCTTTCCGTGACTGAGGCAGCATTTCGAGCAGAGGAACATCACCATGCCAAATGGATATCTGGACACTGTATGATGCTGTAACTAGCTGTTTAATTCATGTTGGACCGGGCGTTTAAAGAGGGTGTGAGCTGCATATCAAGCCAAGAAGAGAGATCATCAATTGTTGGGTGGTAGAACTTTTAATTATTTGCTTCATCTCGCCGTGTGGGCTATTAATAGGTGCGCTCATATACTCACTGTAAGCAGAGCCATCATGCGCCCGATTGGAAGAACAGTTCTGATGCGCTATGGTCTTCCTGCCTGTCGTCCACCTTCTGCTCTCAGCTGGAAACACTCGCTATATCCAAGCCTACGAAGGCGTTTTGCTGCTACTCCGGTCCTGGGTCTCGTCCACCATGGCTCGACATTGGCACCCAGGCATGACCCTAATCTATTCAAATACACATCCGGCCGATACCTATACAATGAGAAACTTCGCCTTGCCGAGAGATATGTCGATTTCAATGTCGAGGCTTTAAAAAGGATTGCTGCTAAAGCTGTCGACCGAGACTCAACCGCCAGTATCAAAAAGCTCGCAGAAGGTGGTTTCAACAGAGTGTTTCTTCTTACTATGAATGATGGCTTCGAAGTCATTGTAAAGATACCATATTTGCTAGCAGTACCACAAAGACTGAATACCGAAAGCGAGGTTGCTACTTTGGACTTTTTGCGAGGGAAAGGCATACCCGTTCCCAAGGTATATGCTTGGTCATCCGACAAAGAGAATGAGGTCGGAACCGAGTATATCATTATGGAAAAGGCTACTGGTAAACCATTGACCGATCGATGGTTTAATATCACTCCCAAAGAGATGTTGAAGTTGGTGACGAGTTACGTGGATATCGAGAAGAAGCTTTTTTCGTTCCCCTTCGCAGCTCACGGAAGCTTGTACTATAAAGAGACACTACCCCAGAATCTTAGGGTTAATCTCTATTCACCGGGAGAGCAGGGAGATGACAGGTTCTGTATCGGCCCTGTCACGGATTATATGTTCTGGCGTGGAAGCCGTGCAAATTTTGATTTGAATCGCGGCCCTTGTTAGTAGCCCGACTGCAGACGGTATAACAGTGGCGTTCTAATTGCGTATATAGGGCAAGATCATTGTCAGTACCTAGAAAGCATTGGCGAGCGGGAACTAGAATGGACTAAAAAATTTGGCAAACCTCTGATGAACGACTTTCCCCACAATGCTCTGGAAAACATACCACGCGAAATATCGCAAGATGTCTACATCGATTTGCTCAAAAAGTATCTATCCTTAGCTCCATATATATTGCCGCAAGATCCCACCGACCTTATGAATAAACCGACTCTGCGTCACCCAGGTACGTTTTCTTGTGCGTCGTATTTACCGGCAGCTAACGAGGGTAGACCTTAACCCAAGCAACATATTTGTTTCTGAAGAAGGTGAAATAACCTGTCTCATTGACTGGCAATATGCTGCTGTTCTGCCACTTCTACTGGTCGCAGGGAATCCACCAATGTTCAACAACCCAGACTCCGAACCACCAAAAGATCTGGAGAAACCATCTCTACCACCGGACTATGATACCCTAAGTGCAGAAGAAAGGGAGCACGCGGATGAACTCCACAGACAAAGGATGCTTTTCTGGCTGTACATGGTATTCAACGGAAGAGACAACAAACCTCACCTCACAGCTCTTCGGTACCCATTGCTGATGCCGCGACAGCACCTCGTTGACAGAGCAGGACGCCAATGGACTGGGAACTTTATCACCTTGAAAGGTGCAATTCTGAGGGTGGTTTCCAATTGGCATATAATCCTTGGAAAACGTGCAGGAAGGATTGAATGTCCTGTCAATTTCACTAAGGAGGAAGATGAAGAGTTCTATGCTATCGAAGAGCAATGGTTCCAATTCAACATTCTAACAGAACATTTGCGTTCAAAGTTAGATCATCTAAGCGAAGATGGCTGGGTGAGGAATGAATCATACGATAAAGTAGTTGCCTTGAACAAAGAGTTCAAGGAAGAATGGTTGGCTCGGGGAGAGGATGATGATGACCGGTTCCTTGTTGAGAAAGGTTGGCCGTTCCAAGATCATGAGGAAGTCGACTAATTGTTTGATTGGTAATACCCGCACATGATGAGTTTGGTTGCGTAAATAAAGGTTTGCTCCCTGTCGTCCGTCGTCCGTGGTTCTGTTCTTCAAAATGAATTTTTGATAGAAGTTATGTGTTGTAAATACCTTTCGCTAACCCTTGGGCAGCAGTGAACTTGGATACCTGTCCACATATCCTGCACCTAATCTGTACAATATGCAAGACACATCTCCTGAAATTATCCTAATATTATCCACTGAAGATGAAGTTGATATTGCTTGCTGTTGATGTTGTTGTTGCCGCTTGATGTTGAAATCGCCGTATTAGTCATCAGTCTTATCGCCGAACTTTATCCGGCCCCGCGGTTGTGCCTCGGCAAATCTGATAGTTAAACAAGCGACGTCGATTTCTAAACACCTGCAAGAAACGACACTTCACCGCCGTCGACTAGATATTTTACGCATCTACACTTGTTGCACTGGTTAATTCTAAGCTGCATTGCTCCTTGTCTGCTTATCCCATAATTATATCTATCTCGGAGCTCGGATTCGTCAATTTACTGCTTTCCCAGCGGACATGACGACATAATCGCTACATCCCCGAAGGAGAATTGCCGCCTATTATAAACCGGGCATAACTTGGACACGCCGTATTTTATTTATTTTTCTATGGGTATTTTTTAGAGAGGGCACTGATACGATACCAATTTCGTTAAGAGTTAGGCTTGAATAACTTATCACCTGCCTTCCGCATCTCAACGTGAGTGTGATATGACAATTCTCAGAGTTGAGGAAACCCCCAAACCCTATACCATTATCTGCCGCGTTTTCCAACCGGCTATCCTTATGTGTATACATATACTCCGTATGTTGATCTCAATCGCTTATATTTCTTTGTAGAGCTCAATTTCGATCCCCAGGAGCCGGTACCCCTATAATAATTTCCTGGAGTATACAACAGCCCATCCATACCTGGTATAGATTTCTTCAGGAACGTCCACAATCATGCATGCTATTACAATTACAAGCGAGGATGGCAAGTTCGGGAAGCCTGGGCAAGTCTATTACCCACTCTCTCTCCGTTCGGTCCCAATTCCAACTCCAAAAGGGACTGAACTGCTCATCAAACTCACCGCAGCCTCACTTAACCATCGGGACCTCTTTATACGAAAACACTTATACCCAGGGACCTGTTTCGAAACGGTCCTACTAAGTGATGGAGTTGGTATTGTGGCTTCGACAGGACCGGATGTGCCCCATGCTCAATCCTGGGTGAACAAGCGGGTTATTCTGAACCCTGCCACCGGCTGGAAAGATGCCCCCGATGGGCCCGAGAGCGCCACTGGATTCAGAATCATGGGAGGCACAAGCCTGTATGACAAGGGAACCTTACAGGAATACATCACCCTGGACATGAGTGAGGTCGAGGAGGCGCCGGAGCATCTGTCTGATGCTGAAGCGGCGGCTCTGCCGTTGACCGGGTTGACTGCTTGGAGAGCACTCGTGACCAAAGCTGGTGAAGCTAACTCCAGCACCGGAGCTGCCATCTTGGTTACCGGTATTGGTGGAGGTGTGGCGCTGATGGCCTTGCGCTTTGCGGCGGCAAGGGGAGCGGATGTATATGTCACAAGTTCTAGCGAGGAGAAGATTAAGCAGGCTGTCGAGCTCGGAGCTCGCGGTGGAGTGAACTACAAAGAGACGGGATGGGAAAAGAAGCTGATGAGCATGTTGCCAAACGGGAAGACTAAATTTGACGCTATTATCGACGGTGCGGGCGGAGAGGTCGTTGAAAAGGGGGTGAAGTTGCTTAAGGTACGTCGTTTTTTCTTGTTATATGCCCACTTTAAGCTATGGGTATTTCCGAGCCCACACCTCCTCGTTCTGCCTTGCCGGGCTTGTGAGGTGAAAACACACCTTCTCTCCTATTTACCGCCATGTTCTCTTTCTATATATTGTGGCTTGATATGATATAAACAATTACGCCCCGAAAGTCTAAACGGTGTGGTCAACCGCAGAGTGGGCATGGCACCAAAGCGCTGTGGTCGGGCTCCTTTGCGCCTCCTCTGATAGGCACATATCGGCGTGATTCAGCCGAGTGGCTCTATATAAGCTTCAATTAAGGCCCGTTGCTAACGTTTCACGTTTCACGCTCCCCTTTTAGGACGGTGGAATAATCTCCATTTATGGAATGACGGTTGGCCCAAAGATGACATGGTTAATGCAAGCCGTGATGAAAAACATTGATCTTAGGGGCACTACTATGGGCTCGAGGAAAGAGTTCAAGGAGATGGTGGACTTCGTGAAGGAGAAGAAAATTAAGCCGGTAGTGTGGAAAGTTGTCCAGGGTATTGACAATCTTGACGGTATCAACGGCTTGTTCGACGATATGCAAAGGGGCAATCAGTTCGGCAAGTTGGTAATCGAATTTGGCGATTCGACTGGAAGCAAACTGTGAGAGGCATGAATGGTTAACCCCGGACACTCCTTGACCGGCGTCTCCGTGAGGAAAAAGGGGGATGGAGCACGATAGTTAGTTACTCGTAGCACCATGACTAGTTCGTGAGCAACATCATCAACACCACCAGCCACAGTACCTAAGCTAGCTAAGTAACTAACTGACTAGTTAGCTCACTTGCCATGGTTAAGAAAAGAAGTAATCAATCGATTCTCTTCCTCCCCTTACGCCCACTTCGTTTTACCCTGGGAATCGATAAGGCCAGTCCACCGTTCTAGCCTCCCCCCAGGATATTTTCACAAAAAGAAAGCTGCAGGACGGGTTGCGTTTGCTTCCGCGCGTGGAGAAAGCTCTGAAATGAAACGCAATATCAAGGGACCTGTATAGACCAGGGGGTAGCTCCAGCTTGGCTCTCCGTCCCCAACGCATTCCACGCCATGATTGCTCAACCTCGAATGGGCTTCAACACACGCCGCATCATCACTGAAAATCACATAATCTCCGAGCATGAACTAATTTACCATCCAGTTCGCTATACGAGGAGCTAAGACCTGCGAGCATTTCATGTTTTCGCAATATCAAACGGCCAATATACAGTCCGTGCAGCGAGGGGGTTTGATGATTGCCTGTCCTGCCTGGCTGTTTGCCTGCAGTATGGTCAATTCGCCCGAATGAAAGGTTGAAGAGGACTGACGCTGTGTCCACCCGTGACCCCTTTGGCCCGTCTCTTTCATTTAATTTACTTCAGCTACTGGACTCAAAATGCACCAAAATGCGATGCAGGCAGATCACCGTACCGTTAATACGCCGGAAGCAGATCTTGACGGGGAGAAGGGTGAAAGAAGAATTGCGGGCTGCATGAGACGCAAGATCTGTGTATGTATGTAGATCATGTACGGGTAGGGGAGTTTTGGAGCTGTCCCCGGAGCTCTCAGAGCTGTCGGAGCTTGCTCACTGGTTTACTGCTCAAAGCTTGACATGTGCCGGGTACTCCGTACTTCGTTTGCGTGTTCGACGTGTACGCCATCCTCTCACCCCCTTTTTCTGTTGCCTTCCCTTCGTCGCCAGACATGAACAGCAGGAAGCCGAAAGCTGTTGAGGGTGAAATTGAGAGCTATGGATCTGCCCCTGAATGGAGTCATATAAGGTCAGTATGGAGTACCGACGGGAAGGTCGTGGAGCGAAAAAAGATGCAGCGTATCGCACAGCTTGCATTCAAATCGCCCTGGGCACAGCAGAGAAGGGGAGGGAATGCATATGAAAAAAGTGGGCGTGGCCTGCATGTCCATCGAGTAACTATCCGTTCCACCCAATAGCCAGGGGTATACAGTGCATCTCGACATTGTGACTGTTATCCGTTAGTTATCTCAGGGGAGGGGACTGCATTAACCTCGGATATGTCAACAATACGGAGTATGGTTGGCTTCGACAACGCCGTTACTTACCTTGTGGCCCATGATTCCAGCGCCGAGCCAGCTCATAGTCGGCGCTCTTAAGCGAACGGAAATGGAGCCCCGACCGCATTGATTAACTAATTACAAGGGCCACCTGCCTAGGAAGAAGTTTGGAGAACAAAATCATGACCTGGCCACGTCTGCTCTGCTCTGGCTCATATTTTCGTTCATGCAGGCCAGTTTGCTTATACTTGGCGTTAAGTAACGGAAAAGCACAACGTCCGTTTCAGCAAGGTGTCTGTACACTTTTCTTGAAATTCTGATTTCCGGCTGTGATCTTCTCCGGGGCAAAGGGAAGTAAGTACAAGGACAGGCTTGGTCTTCGCTCTGGTGAAAGGAGTTCGCAGGGTGCAGCCAGCAACTGAGTGACTTGGAAGATGAAACGCCAATTTCCAGCTGAACAAGGGGAATCCACAGGGTATTGGGGAGAAAGAGGAGGATACAGCGAACAAATGCACGACAGCAATGCGGAGTATGGAAGCGTGCTACAGAGTTACCTTATGCTGGATATGTGCGTCTGGGGCTTGCTATCTGTGCCCCAGTCGGTACGTATGTATCAAGTGTACATATACGGAGGAGGCAGTGAAAGGCAATGGGATGTGCTTACACCGCTTGGTACATTTAGAGGAACGGGGGAAAAAGAAAGATCGGAAACGGGATGATTAATCTAATTGCTCCTGAGCAGCCCAATATGGGTTGTGAAGTGCAAATGGAGGATGGGATAAAGCCCCGATGTGAGTTTCATACACCTCCGTACCTCTCAAGGAAAGGCAGCAAGTATCGTAAAATCGGCGTGGTTTTGTACATACATCCGTTTTTGACGACCACGTTGCACAAGATAGCATTCATCGTCCCTTGAAAGTTAGCCAGGCATGGTCTAAGTACTTCGGCCGGTGACAAGCTTGGTAAGGCGTGTGCTCCATACGGAGTACCGAGTCAGTCAATTGGGGGAAATTATATATAGAAAAAGTGTCTGACATTTATCCGCGATAAGTCGTAAATCCTGCGTGATGACAGAAAAGCGTTTCGGGCCGAATGATTTGCCAGCACGGTCGTTGGGAGGGAGATAGGGCAGAGGGAAAAGATCCCACAAATGCCATCATCCCCTCGTATGCTGCGCCTGTTGAACAAGAAAGGGCAGTGAAGTCATCTTTAAGGATGCAGAGGAAGCATGGGAAAGAAGAAAAGAGACGCCAAAAATGCTACCTCCCCCTTTGGCGGTTCATCGAAGGGTTCCATCCGGTGTATTTAGAGTTTGGCTATCCGAACAAGCGAGAGGTGGAATGACAGCACCATCAAGCGACGAGCAACGAGACGACTCGCCAGCGAGCGGGCTCCAGTATCAGGGCTGTGCATGACAGAGCATGTATTTTTTTTTATGCTCTCTCTTCACTTTCTTCGGCTTCTGATTGGTGGGAATATGGCCAAGGTTAGCTAAAAATAACAGCAGACGAGCTAAAAACTAAAAATAGCATATTAGCTAAGCACCCTTTTCCAGTCCCAGAGTTGAAGAACCGGCAGCCAGACGAGAAGAACCAACAACCACCGACGTGGGAGACCCAACGCCAGACGATGACAGCCACTTAACTGTTGGATACGCGATGAGAATAATAGCGTGGAATTAATATCAGGAAACCTGCAAGAAGACTGGGTAGTCAGCAACTTGCGAGAAAGAGTGGTATAGTGGATGATGATGAGAGTTATGCTGCATCTACCTTTCATGTATGTATGCTGCATGCAAGCAAGTATGTGCGACGTCGGCGTGATCACACTGTAACGGTCGACCACCACTCTGATCGATCCCTTTGCTGGCCTTGCAGAAGGGGGGTGTGTGTAAAGTATGGGAGATTCGGCAGCCAGTAGCGAGCCACGGAGATAAAAAGAGACATTCTGGCACACGAAGCCCAGGGATACTGGTTATTTCGTCCTGATGGATGGATCGACGGCCAAAGTAGTATTATTAGGTGAAGCGATACCTGAGGATCTCCGGACCTCATCGTCAACCTCAGCTTCTTTTTGCTTCTGTCGGATGTATATAGAACAAAAACGCGGTGGTGGATACTGCCATGCACGAAATGCTCCATGCACAGAACAGAACACCAGCAGCCAGCCCATCAAAAATAATAATCATGACGTCCATCAGGGATTGAGGAAGAAAGCCACCGCCCACGCTGATCCCTGAGAGCAACGGCTCCTTCAATCGACCCTTATCCGGGCTGGGTGGTGGCCTGTCTGCTTTGTGCTCCACGAGTCAACTGGTCGTTCTCCATACGCCCACCGTAGAAGCCGTCTTCCAAGTATTACTCCGTACTACTGTTATTGTTATCATCATATTTCTCCAGCGCTATAGCTGCTCCTGTATCCGCACAGAGTACTCCGTACATGGCCTGGCATGCCATGCTGGCGCTCCCACTCTATATCGAGCAGTGCTATTATACTCAAGTCACAAAGTGGAAAGCGCAAAAAAGGCGAAACGCCGGCGGTGTTACTAGCGTGCAACCCGCGAGCGTGGGTAAAATACCAATACCGGCGTTACAGCAGCCCGGTGGCCGCTGATTGGCGCGTGACCGTCCTCATGTGACCTTCTTCGTCATCTGCCTGCCGTGAACTTACGGTATCGCGTGTATCGTTATGTACCGGACAGGGCAGGCGCACGGCGGAGGACCCACTATTCACCGCTTCGGGAAGGGGCCATGCTGCCCTGTGGGTCTCGGCGCTAGTCCCGATGAGGCGCCAGCGGGGGAAGCCAGCGCCGGTAACTTTGGTAACTTTCGTCACGCTGGTACCGCTTTTTTTTTTTTTTTTTTTTTTTTTGTCTTCTTTCTTTGTCGTTCCTTCCCTTTTCCTTATGATGCTTAAAACAACTTCTCCTCCTCGTTTCTTTTGACGTCCTCCTCTTCCTCTCCTCTCGTTCTTCTTCTTCTACCTTCGCTTGCTATCCTCACGCTTCCATCGTTTTGATTCTCTCGTTTACACCGTCCTCGTCCTCACCATTCTCCTCGATATCAGCTGTCCAAGACACTCGCTCTTCTCACGAAGTTACGCTCGCTAACCCGGTTGTCCCCGTCGTGTTGTTTTTGTCCCTTGTTTTCCGTGCCTTGCTACCAGCTATCTATCTACCTGCCTACCCATCCCTCCACCTGAAATCCGACATTACGGAAAAAAAAAAAGAGAGAGAGAAAGAGAGAGAGAGACACCGTTGCTCCTCTATTAGCTTCCCTTAATCAGTCTCATCGCCATCGCTATCATTGTTCTGGGTCGTTTCGTCATTTATCCATATAATCTATCGTTAATATCCGTCGCAACAGAGAGCCGCACCTCTTCTCCATTTGGTCGCCTCCAAACGCTCGGCCTGGGAGCTATATCTTTTTTTATATATAATTGAAAGCGGAGGAAGCCTCACTCACGCTATCCGGACCAGAAACGCCGAGCTTAAACTCATCGGGTATCGGCAACCAGGCAGATATAATCTAGGCCATACCTCTCTGCCTGGTGTATATCACCACCACCACCTCGACCATTCTCATCACCAACAACACCAACATC